GTATTCATTGAAAAAAATCTGTTTTTCTCCCACTGATTGATTTAAAATGTCACTTTTATCAGACACTTCAGTTTCTTATATATTTGAATATATTTCTTCACCTCCTATTCTGTTGATTTGTCTTTGTAGATGTGTACCAGTACCAAACATTTCAGTTATGGTTTTCAACATTTTGAATATCTATAAGGCTAGTCTTCCCCTATTTTTCTTTATCAGAGTTTTCTTGGCTATTTTGCATTTAAAAAATATATGTTAACTGTAGAATCAGGCTATCAGGTACCTCAGAACCCTGTTGATACTCTTATTAGGACAGCAGATTATTCAAGAAGACCCAATGTCTCTGTGAGGAAATTTCTGCCCGAGAACGTGGCGCCCACCACCTCTTCATACCTCTTCGCTGTCCCCCTTTTCTCTCTCAGAACAGTGATTTGTAAATTATCTCCATAAAGCTTTCTCTTAGTGTTAAATTTAATCCAAGGTACTTCAATTTTTGTTGTTGTTACAATGTGGTTATTCCTTTCTGTCCTGAAAATTGTGTTTAATTATACAATATATGTAAAGCCTGTTGATATCTGTATAAGTTTTTCTCTCTACCTAATGAAATTCCTTCTTTTCCATGGCAGTTTTCTAGTTGGTGTTCTTGGATTTTCAAAGTTAATTATTGTTATCTGCAAATGATGGTCTTGCTTCCCCTTTTCTGATTTTTACCCCTCATTTCTTCTCTGTGTTGATGTCAGTAATGGTGGAGTGTGCTTTGGAGTGACCCATCTTATTAAATGGTAAACAATCACATCTCTTTCCAATTTTATTAAGAATTTATACAAAGAGTGGAAATGGAATTTTATCAGATGCCTTCTCAGTATCTTAGATACTGGGTCTCATAATAGGTTTGGTTTTTGTGGGGGTGGTTTTTTACTACCAGTCTATTAATATGATGTAGTAATAAATCTTCTAATACTATATGTTAAATTATCCTCTTTTTAATAATTTTACTTGGTTGTGGCTTATTACTCTTTTAGTTGTTGCTGGATTGTATTTGTTGATATTTTAGTGGGGACATTTTTATTGGTACCCATAAGTGGAAATGTTTCTATAGGCAGGGTGTGTGTGTGGATTTGTTTGGAGATTGGGGGTTCCTTTTCAGAAAAAAAGGTTTAGAAAGGATTCCCCGCTGCTTGGATCAATTTAAATAACATTGGAACTGTCTATTTCTTTATGGTTTGTAAAAACACCAGATTCTGATGGTTTTGTAGGAGTTGATTATATTTTAGATGACACAGAGAATTCAAAATTCCTTTTCTTACCTAAACATAGGCTAATTGACTTGCCAAAACTTTTTTAGTTTAATAAAATTTACTCCAATTCAGGAGGTTAAACCCACCTACATAACATACATATGTCCATATGTGTATCCATCCATGTTGTGCACATGTGTGTATTATACATAAGTGTGTGTATGTGTTATACGCATGCATGTGTTTTCGTGTGTGTTGTGTTATACATGTGTGTATATGTGCCCGTGCATGTGTGTATTATACGTGTGTGTGTGTGTGTGTGTGTGTGTGTGTGAGAATACAAATGCATGTGTCACTAAATGTATTTTTGTACCCACTTATGAGCTCTATCCTGGGTGTTAGACATTGCAAGGTAAGGCTGCATCATGAATTTGCCTGTGTGGGTCTGCACATGTAATATGCGTTGGCATCCCTTAGCCCAGTCGGCAGCTTTCCTGGAGCAGTTCTGGCTATCCTCACCAGGAGTGGAGGCTTGGGTAGGACTGTTAACCCCACGAACAGATAAGGCTGGGCAGGCAGCTTAAGAAGAGGGACGAGCTGAGGATAGTGGAGCAGTGGCAGCTGATTAGGTTGTTGATGGCACATCTCCCATGTGCTGGGCCTCAAGGTGAATGAGACATAGTCTCTGTCCTTCAAATTTACCATCTCGAGGGAGAAATGTACCCACAGAGATATAAACAGCAATGCCAGAAGTGCAGTACTGGAGGTCAGTACCAGGTGATGTGGTAGTTAGGTGGAACTGACTGAAATTACAGGGACTTGAAAGATGAGTGACTTACCAGGTTCTCAGAGGACATGCTGGAGGCCAGCAGAAAGAGAGGGATTTTTCCTGTGCAGGAATAGCTTGGGTCACCCCTGGTGGGTGATGCCTCATAGAGTGGGGCTGTGCACTCAAACTGAGGGACTTGGGGTTTTCCTTGAGGAGACCCCTGTGTCCCCAACTCCAGTCCTACAGCAACTTGCTCAGTTCTGTCAGCAGGGAGAATAGAGAGGGACTGCGTGGTTATCCCAGTGACATGGAGCCTATGTGGAGCGTGGGCTCGCCTCTTCCTATCCCCCAGCATGTCACGGGGGCTCCGACCTGACATTTGTAAGAGGTAAGTTAGAGGATCCTGAGCCCAGGTGATTTGCTCTTTGGTCTTTATGTTGTATTTTCTTTTTTTCTTTTTTTTCTTTTTTTAAAATATATATATTTTATTGATTTTATACAGAGAGGAAGGGAGAGAGATAGAGAGTTAGAAACAACGATGAGAGAGAGTCATTGATCAGCTGCCTCTTGCACACCCCCTACTGGGAATATGCCCGCAACCAAGGTACATGCCCTTGACCGGAATCGAACCTGGGACCCTTCAGTCCCCAAGCCGACGCTCTATCCATTGAGCCAAACCGGTCTCGGCTTTATGTTATATTTTCTATCTGAGACCATCTTGCAGCTCACTTCTCATTCTGCTGAGATGCTCACTGTGCTGTGTCTCTTTGTGCTTCTTTGTTACAACAGATGCAGGTTTTATTCCTTCAAATAAGAATTCTCATTTTAGGAGAGTAAGCACTTCTTGGGTACACAGTTAGAAAATCTGGTGATTAAGCCTAAAGAAACAGTGTCCTTTGAAACAATACACACACCCTTGCATATAGTGTTTTTTAATCATAGAAATGACATGCCTATTGAAAAATATGCAGACATTACAGAAGTTCATAAATAAGGTAAAAGTAAAAGCCCTTGACCATTCCCCATCTTTTACTGTGGCTACCTGTGAAGATGCCAGGTCCAGCCCTAACCAGTTTGGCTCAGTGGATAGAGATCAGCCTGTGGACTGAAGGGTCCAGGTTCAATTCTGGTCAAGGGCAGGTACCTTGATTACAGGTACATCTCCAGGGAGGGTGGGCAGGAGGCAGCTGATGGATGTTTCTCTCTCATCGATGTTTATAACTCTCCCTCTCTGTAAAAAATCAATAAAATACTTTTTTTTTTTTTTTAAGATGTCCTGTTCAGCCTTCCAGACTCGTATGTAAGCAGTGGAAATGTGTGGGTGGGTTCTGGGAAATGGAATCATATTTCCAAATGTGTGAGTGGGTTCTGGGAAATGGAATCATATTTCCAATCATATAGACATGGAAACATTTTTTCTTGACTAAACTGTAGCCCTGAATTTTATTCCATGATAGTATATGCAGTGTTCTGTGTTCTTTTTAAGGGTTGCGCAATTTTCAATTATGGTTGCACCATTGTTTAGTTTACCAGTTTATTACTGAGTTTGTCCTGATATTTGGCTCTGTATATTTGAGTGAGAATATCTATAGGAGAGCCCTGGCTGGTTGCTCAGTGGTTAGCGCATTGGACCATGGACTGAAGTGTCATGGGTTTGATTCTGGTCAAGGGCACATACCTCAGTTGCAAGCTCAATTCCCAACCCCAGTCGGGACGCATGCAGGAGACAACCAATCAATGTGTGTCTCTGGTATCGATTTTTCTCTCTATCTCTCCCCATCCCTTCCACTCTCTAAAAATCAATGGGAAAACTATCCTTGGGTGAAGATTAACAAAACAAAAGAAAATCTGTAGGAGAAAGTTCTAAAAGTAGAATTGCTGAGGCAAATGTATTTTATACACTTTAAATTTTGAGGTGTTTTTCAAACGAACCCAGAAGGTCACGTGAACTGTGGTCCCAGCAGTGTGTGTGGACATGGCTATGTTCCTGCTGTTTTACTTCTTTAGCTATTAGAGGGCTTGAGTGCCCTTTGTATTTTCTCACTGGATCCATAAAAGCAATATGAGATAAATGGTTGTTTTTTTCAGTTTGGTTCTAGAATGTCTTTCTATTCACTGAGCAAATCAAATTTGTCATTCTTTCCTTTGTGCTAATCTTAGGAAGACTTTATTTACCCCAAGATTATAGGAATATCCCCCTTAGTTTTGTTCTAGTCTTCAGTCCACTGGAATTTAGAGCTGATTGCCCCACCTCATTTGAGAATGGCCCATGCTCTTCTCATAGGTTTGAAATGCCGCCAAATAACTTATTCACTGGGATTTTATGCAAACATGGACTCTGAGATCCACCTTTTTAGTAAATATCAGAATTTGATAAAATATTTACCAAGACTAAAAATGGTTTCTGTAGCCCTAAGTTTACAAAGAAATATGACTAAAGACTGAGAATGTAAAATTGAAGGAATTTTTTAGCTTTATTTAAATGGTGTCAGTTTCTGAGCACTAAGAGCCCAAGACTCATTTTATTTGCTTTGTGACAGTTCTTATTTTATTTTACTTTTTACTTTTTTGTTAATCTCCACCTGAGGTTATTTTTTTTTCCATTGATTTTTTTTTTTTTTTTAGAGTGGAAAAGAGAGGGCAAGACAGGCACACAGAGAGAAACATCCATGTGAGAGAGACACATCAATTGGTTGCCTCCTACATGCGTCCCAACCAGGACCCCAGGACCAGGGATCCAACTTGCAACCCAGGCATTGCCCTTGATCGCAATCCAATCTAAGATTCTTCAGGCCAACGCTCTATCCACTGAACCAAACTGGCTAGGGCTACTTTGTGACAGTTCTGAAGCCCTCCTAGAAGAACCGTGAAACAAGAAATTAACTGTAATAAAGTTCGTGTGCAGGAAGTAGCCTTATGCTGCACCCTGTTTAAAGTCTTTGTTGTTTAAAGTCATATAATCCTCTACATGCTTTTTCTCACCTGTCGCACCACAGCCTAAATGTGATGGCCAAGTTTTACTGACACAAGTGTGGAGGCGTTTGAATCTGATAGAATGTGACTACTTCGGGTTGGAGTTTCAAAACATCCCATCCTACTGGGTAGGTGCTTCTCATTCGTTTGGAAATAGCTGTGGGTGTGTTGTAGGACCCTCCCCACATCCACGGGTCACCGGGAGCCTTTGAGTTATGACTATAGTTATTTTCTTGTTAGTAGCATACTTACTAAATAGAGAAGTTATTTCATAGATTTGCTCTCTTCTTAAATCCTCTTTAGATTTGGCTTGAACCTATGAAACCCATCAGTAGGCAAGTACGAAGTAAGTCCCATTTTTTTTAATTCCTTAAAATTCTGTTCACTCAAAGTGCTTTGTTTTTGTTCTTGACTGTTCAAATCTGAGGCATGATGAGATGTTCCCTGTCACCATTCTGGATAGCCATGAGGGTGCTCCAGCAGCAGTGGACCTGGAGGTCAAGGTGCTGTTTAATGCGGGGGCGGGGGGCAATCCTTCACTTTGGTTCTAGGTTACTTGCCTCGAATTTGGAAGCAATATGCAAAAATAGGTATGCAGTTTCTCTTTAAGTTATGACATGACACTGAGGTTCTTCCTTTAATTGACATTTTAATAAAATAGTTAATGCCATTCTGTAAGTATAAGCATCATTTTAATTGTAAGCATTATTTTTGTTGGTCTCTTAATTAATTTTTTTTAACTTCCTTAGTACTAAACTGAGGAAGAAAGGACATGAGGAGTAACTTTGTTATTCACTGATGAGCTAAGGCCATTTTGGTTGCCATAACATTTTAACAAACAGTTCCTCTTTTTTTGGTGAAAATTATATGGTTATGTTATTATAACATTTCAATAAAGCTGAGTGCTTAGATGAGCTAAACAATAATCAGGTTGTTCCAATTCAGTATAGTGAGTGATGACAACATTTTTCTTACAGTCAAGTATATAAGAAATTCAAAAGTAATTTTTATTATTACTCTTAATTGTGTAAATATCTTAACTTTTTAACATAAAAAATATATTTAAAAAATTTTAATGTGCAATTTCTTCAAGTTTCTTGCATAATATCCATTTAACACAAAAGTTTTAAAATTTTTCTTTACTGTATATGAATGGTACTTAGGATTCATGATTTCATGTATAGGAAATTTCTTAATATCATCTCATTTGGAAAGATTTGCTTTAACAGTCCATTTGAATGTACTAGCTCAACTATATCATAAAACATAGAAAGATAGTAACTACAATACAGAGAGATGGCCTTATGTGTGACATTTAAATTTTTTTTTTTTTAATAGGGCCAAAGAATGCAATGCTTCGCCTAGCAGTAAAATTTTTTCCACCCGATCCGGGTCAGTTGCAGGAGGAATACACACGGTAAAGAGCCTGTTCTGAACTGAGGCCACTGTCAGCAAGGCCTTGAATTCACTTGTGTTTTCCACAGTGCCTGGCTTATCAGATGTTCAGGGCATATTTATTCAAAGAATGAATGAGTCCAGTATACACATAAAAACTGTGATACGTATGTAATAGTGAAAAGAAGCATTCTGGCAGTTAACCCTTGCACAAACACAAATGGGCATAAATTTATACATATGCATAAAGTTCTTAGGAATTTTGCCCATATATTTACTACTACTTCTTTAACAATAAAATACACTTAATTAGGAGAAGTACCTAGTATGTGAGACCTCATGAATAGGCAGGACAGACACTTCTGGTGACTTCTTTTCTGCAACTCCTGAATTCATGCTCGATTCTTTAAAGAAATAATTGAAAGAAAACATTAAAAGTTGTTTTTTTCTGAGCAAAGGATTATAGAAGGTTGTTCCTTATGTTTTATGTACCAATTTTATAATGAGAATAAAGAAACAACCTAAAACAACTCACAGCCCAAGGTCAGGTGTGAGCTGAATAGGACAACTGTTTAGCCCTCAGACAAAACATAGACTTGTCCTAGATGTCTTAGGAACCTCTCTGTGCAGTTTTCACAGGTAATTTACCATCAGAAAAGTAGACTGTCCGTGTGAGGAAATGTCCAAGATCACATTTGTTTACCTCTCGCTATATAGGTGAGGAAATGACCCCAAGGATGGAAAAGAGTTTTTATGGTACAGAATGTATCCCAATGACATATTAAATACCTGACACCAAAAAAAGATCCCTTTTAAGGTAATAGCTTCTAAATATATTTAGACCTTGAAAGTGATGAATAACAGAAAGTGCTACCTAATTCAGCATGATGGGCCCAAGCCATGTTTATGCAGAAGGTCCTTGGTTTATTCATTTTTTAAAAAAGTACTCACTTGGGACAAGAGAAGAAAAACATTGAAATGAAGCCATGTAGAGTAAAAGTAGCCCCTCCTTGCACCACATTCTGCCCCGAAGCTCTGACCCCAGCATGTTCCAGCAATACACAGCCACCTAGGGCAGCGGCAGTCTGTGCATATGAAACTCAGGGGGGATATAATTACCTGCACATCCATAGCCTGTGTGGACATCTTTCCCAATTAGTATATACCGTATATATGGCTGCTATCTAATTTATGTAACCATTCTTATATATTAGTTCATATTTAGCTTATTTCCAATTTTTCTCTCTTATAATGCTACAAATAAACATCCTTCTCCACATATCTTTGTGAACTCTGGAAATATTTCTCTTGGAATTGTTGGGTTAAGGGGTATGCACATTCCCCCCCCCCTTTTTATTGAATATATTGGGTGACACAAACTTAATGAAATCATATAGGTTTCAGGTACATGATTATACAACAAATCATCTATATACTGTATTATGTGTTCATCACCCCCAATCAAAACTCCTTCCATCACCATTTATCCCCCCTATGCCCTCCTCCACCTCCCCCCCACCCCAGGGGGTACACACATGTAAATTTTAAGTAAATGCAATACATTTTAAGATATCACAGTAAAATGTGAATTCCAATGAGGGGAGTGTTTGTCTTGTTCACCATCATATTTCCAGATCCAAGAAATCTGGAATACAATCTGTGCTCAGTAATTATCCTATATAATAAAAGGGAAATATGCAAATCGACAGAATGGCAGAATGATTGGTCATTATGATGCACACTGACCACCACGGGGCAGATGCTCAGTGTAATAGCTGCTCCCTGGTGGTCAGTGCACTCCCACAGGGGGAGCACCGTTCAGCCAGAAGCCTTGAGCCAAGCTCAGGGCTGGCTAGTGCAGCGATGTGGCAGGAGCCTCTCCCACCTCCACCATAGCACTAAGGATGTCTGACTGGTGGCTGTCAGTTGGACATCCCTTAGGGCTCCTGGACTGTTAGAGGGTGCAGACCAGGCTGAGGGACCCACCTGAGTGCACAAATGTTGTGCACTGGGCCTCTAATTGATGGAATGAATAAATACATAAATATTTCCAAATCGCTTTTTCTGGTTATATTCTCACCAGTGGTATTAGGAGTCCCTGTTCTTCAAATTCCAGGCAAGAAATATCAATCTGCTTACAAGTTTCATAGCCACATTTTAAGTTGTATCTTAATTAGATATTTCTCCTTTTTCACTCAAAATCATGGGTACTGTTGGTGTGTAACAGAAGTAAGAGAAATTTGTGAGCTCCTTGAAGTGTACAGTGCTATGGGGTATGAAGGGTCACTCGTGACTTTGCTCTGATGGATCGGTGGCTGTGTTCTCCTGCGATGGAGACGTGGGGAGTGTGTTCTAGAACCTTTGGAGCTGATCTCTCTGATGTTTTGAATTCCCTTGTAGATACTTGTTTGCCTTGCAACTTAAGAGAGACCTGTTGGAAGAACGGCTGACCTGCACAGACACCACAGCGGCCCTCCTCACGTCCCATCTTCTACAGTGTTAGTATCTGCCAGTGTGGCAGGCAGCAGGTGTCCTAGGGCTCCTGAATTTGACAAAGAACAGGCCTTTCAGTTTACACATTTTGTAATAAACTGAAGACTAACTTCTACAAAGTGGAATTCCATAAGGCAATCTGCCCACTGCTAAGAAACAAAGGCTCAAGGCCAAAGTCGGTCCCACACACATTCTTTCAGATTGTCCCTCATTTGTGCCTTCACGCATTTTACCAAAAACCTCTTCAGTCTAAAAGCCAGACAGTAACCCTGACATGGCACCCCCAGAATCAGGTCTCCTTGAGGAGAATGTCACAGCTCCCCTGGTGATGGGTTAGGCATTAAACCCTGAAGGAAAAAGAAAATATTTCCTCAGTATCTCGCACAAGAGAAGGTTCAGCAGTATGTGAAGAACTGTAGTTACTTCAAAAACAAACTAGGAGAAATGTAAGAAGAGGTTCTGGCAAGCAGGTGTGGTCTTTGCCAGGGCTTTTCCAAGCCCAGCTAGTGGGACAGAAGGAAGGAAATACCCTTGTTGCTTTTGGACTAGAGGTGGAGGCACATCTTCTGAAAGCTGGAAAGTAAGAAGCATGCTGTAGAAAATTTCAGAAATTTTACTAATACGTATGTGGGTTAATTTATCATTTACTTGGTTCTTTCCCTGGCACACCTTCAAATAGCATTTTTTCTTAATTCTCCCCTGGGGGTATGTTTTTATTGATTTTTAGAGCGAAAAGAAGGGAAAGAGAAAAACATCGCTGTGAGAGAGAAACATCGGTTGCCTCCTGTATGCATCCGGACCCGAGATTGTGCCCACCGGGAATTGAACCCTTTCTGTGTATGGTACAACACTCCAACCAACTGAGCCACCCAGCCAGGGCCAAATAGCAAATTTTATCTATGGTTTTTCTCCTACGGGATAGTACTTGTTGATTCTCATTAACATACGTTTTCAAAGTGACTTAGTTGTTTTTTATTTGACCTGAAGTCTTCTCACGTAGACAGATGGCTTTTCACTGTAAACTCATTTGGAGGGCTCTGTGTACAGCTTAGAGATGTCATAATAACTTGTCCAACTTAGAAGTGTGCTGCTGAGGTTGAAAGCCACTGAATTGATTTGACAGCCACATTCAGTGCATAATTCTGAACTGGGCTTGTAAAAGACACAGTTGGGTAGTTGGTAAAATATGAATAGGGGCTGAGGCTCAGTGTCACAGCAGGTCCTGGTCCCATCTTGCTGTGGGTGAGGTGCTGTGGTTGTGAGTGAGAATACCTAGTTTATAGAAAACCCATTCTAAAATGTGATTCTATGCATGAGACTTAACTGTGGATTTAAAATGGTCTCAAGACAAAACAAGAAATATATTGCTTAACATTATTGGGCTTTACTACTTTTAAAACATTTGTGTGGCCTGGAATTACTGAAATTAGAAACATTGTTCCTAAAGAATTTGAGAGGCCTGAAGGAAAAAAAACGATTTAAAATACATTATCTTGAAACAAGTAAAATACCTTATCCTGGTCATAGTAGTCTTGAAACAACTTTGGGATAGATAATGTGTGATGTAAAACAACAAACATATCAAGCTTGCAAGCCCAGCATTTGCCTCCCTGGAGTCACTCACCTGTGTCTTAATTCTTCAAAACACAGAAGAAATTATCTTCACCTGTTTTCATATTTTGCCTTCATAGCATAAAATATTTGGAATACAAATACAAACTCTTGTTTATATTACTCTTTTTTTTTTAACTTATCTTTACTGTTGAAAGTATTACAGATAATTCCTTTATTCTCCATTTACCCCTGCCCCTGCTCCCCCCATGCTACATATTTAGGATAATATTTTCTACTTTTAGAGAAGGCATTGTACACCCAAATGCATAAACTAAAAGTAGAAAAAATTTATCCTAAATCTGTAGTAAAATAACATGAGTTTATATTTTTCTTTTTTTAATGTGTTTTATTTATTTCATACAGGAAGGGAGAGGAAGAGAGAAATAGAAACATGAATGATGAGAGAGAATCATCAGTCAGCTGCCACACATGCTCCCTACTGGGACTCAAACACACAATCCAGGCATAAGCCCTGACCTGGAATCAAACCAGGACCTCCTGGTTCATGGATCAGCACTCAACCTCTGAGCCACACTGACTGAGCAAGTTTATATTTTTCTTTATTTAAAAATTAAAATTACTGACTATTATTATCTCATCTTAGCGGAAATAGGAGATTATGATGAAACCCTGGATCGCGAGCACCTCAAAGTCAACAAGTACCTGCCCCATCAGGAGTGTTCTCTAGAGAAGATACTAGAATTTCATCGGAAGCACATGTAAGTCAGTGAGAATCAGCCAGTGGACTGCTGTCACTACAGTTGGTCATGGCTAGTGCATCAAGAAGCCTGCATTAAGGCTTGGACTAAAGCCACAGCTGACCACGGCACTCTGGGGACATGGCCTTCTGCTTTAGAAAAGGCTGGAAGAGATATCAGGGCCAGGGAGGAGTGAGGACAGGAGCCCTGGGTGGCCAACGTGGGCTTTCTTATCCATTGCAGGTAGAGACATCCCTACAGAGAGCTCGGCCCAATGCTGAGGTGCTGGGTTCTCCACACTGGCCCCTGGCGAGTTTTCTGCACTGTAGTAAAGGATGCCTGGAGGGAACATACTGGAGCAGTAGGGACTGAAGAGTTATGTGGAATGAGCAGGAGAAGGCAGGGCCAGGGCAATCACTGTAGATGAGGTGAAGATGACCGTGACACAAACCTCCTGTGTGATCACTTCTGTGAGGTGCTAGGCTCTCAGAACCCGATTGTTTTTAGTGCTGTGATCCTGCTGTCTTTTATCACAGGGGCCAGACGCCGGCCGAGTCAGATTTCCAGGTGCTCGAGGTCGCACGGAAGTTGGAAATGTATGGCATCAGGTTTCACAAGGCTTCTGACAGGGAAGGAGCCAAGATTAACCTGGCTGTGTCCCACATGGGCGTCCTCGTGTTCCAGGTAGGGTTAGGAACTTCTCTGTGATGGGGAGGAGGGTTTACATACATTAGTAAATCTTTCCTCCGATGAATAAGGTCTTGGACTTGGAGGAGAGCTTTGCTTGTCATCTGATCTGGCCTCTCAACCAGTAGAGAAATTGTCATCTAGTCTTTGTCCTCACTGTCACAGAACCCATTGCCCCTCAGGGCATCCAATCACGTTCCCACTGTTCCTTCTAATATTGAAGGAAAGTTCGCCCCTTAGAACCTTGTACTGAGACTCTGGCCCTTCCCTGGAGCAGTCTCCATAGCTCCATTCGGTCCTCCAGGTGTGGGTCTCTGAGTGGATGCAGTCATCGTTTAGATTAATGAGGTAAGAACACACTAGAAAATACCAGAGGTGCCGCATGGAGTAATAGTAGGGCCTTATGGCATTTTTTTATTATTTGTGTTTGGATAGTTTCATAAATGACTACTGAGTTTTATTTGTAGTTAAGTATATGTGCCCTAGGGTCTGTGGTGTCATGGGTCTGACAACTGTATACGTAGGCCTTCGAGTGTTGGAAACTGTGGGTGGGTTCCCCAATCCTGCCCACCATTGGCTCTGATCCCCTATCAGGAGTTCTCGTCACTGGGCCTTACAGCTGTGCACCTCTGGTCCAGTACAGTGACTCCAAGGGCACATGGTGGCAGTTGGCACTTGTTTCTGGAACCTGACTTGCAGCTCTTTCCTCTGTAGGCCTTTTAGCCTGTGATCACCTGCAGTGGCTGGTTTGTTCAGGCTCCCTGCTCAGGCTTGCTTTCTTTTTCTTTACCTAGCCATCAAATTTCAGTGTTCTGGGGGGGGAAAAATTTTTTCCAGTGTTTTGTCAGAAGAAAAAAAAACTAATTTTGAATTTAGAATGTTAATTGTGTTATATCACACATCAGATGTGATAGGAACAATAAAATTCAAGACAAAGACTTTAGCAGCCATGCCCCTTTGAGTAGGTAATTCCAGGCCCCAACCTGCTCACTCTGGTCGTCCCTACACCACACATTCTAATCGCATGTCCATCCAAATCCAGCTGTTGTCACTTTTCACCATTTATTACCAGAGGAAGTTGGAAAAGCAGACAGTAGAGACTTCTAGATTGAATTTACTTCTGTTCCTGCAAACCACACAGAATGAGAGTGAAGGAATTTTTTTTCTTTTTAAATTTAAATCAGTGAAAACAAGGGAACCCAGAAGATGAGGTGTATCAGCAAAATTTTGGAAGTTGGGAAATGATCAGAAGGGTGGAAAAGACTGGAATTCGATGGCCTGCAGAGGGAAAGCTGTGAGCAGACCACTCTGTCCAGGAGTGGACAAGGGCACCCCTTGACAGCCAGGAGGAGCCTGGGGCTGGAAACGGAAACTTAGTTTCATCCGTTCATAGTCTGTGAGAAGCCTCATATCCAAGCCAGAGCAGCCTGTTCTTCTCCAGGCAGCTCAGAGGTAGAGATACCAAGTGTCAGGTGGGGGAGCCTGTGCTCTAAGTGCATCGGGCTGCAGGCCTTCCATCTCAGCCCTTTTGCAGTGTGGCCGGCTGCAGGACACACTGCTCTCTGGAAAGTCTGACCAGCCTTGCAGGAACCTCACAGATGTTGAACCTGGGATACTCCACAAATGTGGCCTGCACCCACATTTTAGAGTCTCCTCTTACAAAAACTTTTTTTTTTTTGTAACACTTTCAAACTGGCTGAAAAGCTGTAAGAATTAGAATTGCTCAGATTCCATGTACCCTTTACCCATATCCAGCCGTTATAGGCATGTTCCTCCCGTCTTACACACAAACGTTGCACACGTTCCCATGCGCACAGACAATTATTTCCGAAGCATTTGATAGTTATCATGGATCTTTACCCTAAGAAATGTGGTGTGTATTTTCTAATAGAATTTTCCCTTACATAATCACAATGCAATTACCATGGAAGCCTCAAACACATCTTAATACATCATTTATTTCCCAGGCTTGTCAACTGGCCAGGAGTGTGCTCAGAGCTTCATTTCCTCCAGAACAGGATCTGGCCTAAGACCATACAGAGCATGTAGTTGTAGTCCCCTTGATTTTTATTTATTTTATATAGGAAAATATATATTTATATCCCTAAATGGCAATACAGAATTTATAGCAAAACCATGTGTGGAAATACTATCAATTATATTCCAGACATAATCAGTGGAACAACAGTATCACATAAACATGTGATATTGCCTGGCCAGCATGGCTTAGTGGTTGAATTTCAACCTATGAACCAGGAGGTCACTGTTAAATTCCCGATCAGGGCACATGCCTGGGTTGTGGGCTCGATCCCCAGTGTGGGGTATACAGGAGGCAGCAGATCAAATATTCACTCTCATCATTGCTGTTTCTATCTCTCTGTCTCTCTTCCTTTCAGAAATAAATAAAAATATATTTTGTAAAAAGTTATGTATATTCTCTCTCTCTCTCTCTCTCTCTCTCTCTCTCTCTCTCTCTCTCTCTCACACACACACACACACACACACACACACACACACACACACACACAGTATTTCCCAGCCATTGTGGCTCAGTGGATTGATCATCAACCCATGCACCAAGAGGTCACCAGTTGATTCCAGTCAGAGTACATGCCCGAATTGCAGACTCCATCCCTAGTTTGGGCTGTGCAGGAGGCAACCAATCAGTGTTCCTCTCAACATCATTTCTACCTCTGTCTCCCTCTCCTTTTTCCTCTTTCTAAAAATCAATAAAAACATATTTTTTTATTTTTTTAATATATTTTCTTGATTTTTAACAGAGAGGAAGGGAGATAGAGGGATAGAGAGCTAGAGAGCTAGAAACATCGATGAGAGAGAATCATCTATCAGCTGCCTCCTGCACACCCCCTACTGGGTATGTGCCCGCAACCCAGATACATGCCCTTGACTGGAATCGAACCCGGGACCCTTGAGTTCGCAGGCCAATGCTCTATCCATTGAGCCAAACCTGTTTCGGCAAAATGTTTTTTTTTTTAATGTGGTATGTCAAAAAATAAAAGTTCCATATTAAAAGTGACTATAGGTACCCAAACAAATTATTAAAAAATGAAATAGTAAAATGCACATATGTAACTATTATGTTAAGATGTAAAATGCTTAAGTCACTGCTTTTTAAATCTAGTCATTAAACTACTGCTACGGCTGGTGACAAAGTCGTATACTGTTATGCAACCTCTATATTGACATGTCACATGTTTTTTGTTTATGTGTGTGTGTGTTTAAGAATATGTTTTTATTGATTTTTAGAGAGAGGGAAAAGGAAAGGGAGAAAGAGAGGTAGAAATGTTGCGAGAGAAACATGGATCAGCTGCCTCCTGCAAACCCCCTACTGGGGATTGAGCCTGAAATCTAGGCATGTGTCCTGACTAGAAGCAAACCACCATCCATCAATGAATAGCATAATGCCCAATCAATTGAGCCACACCGACCAGGGCAGTCCCATTTTATTTTTAAAAGACTGTTCCTCATATTTGGTTTGTTAGCTGTTTTTCTGTGATCAAATTCAGATGACATGTTCCCAGCTCAACCACTATTCATGTTATATCTTTCTCAGGGGCCACACCTGAGACACCGTCTAGTCTTGCCGATGTGTGAGCCCTGCTCCCAGTGCTTTTTGGCTTTCCATTGTGTATTTACTAGTTTTTCTCTATTAAGCAATCCGCCATGAGACATTTGGAACCATCGGGGTGTCCTGTCCCTTGTCGATTTCCCCAGACTAGCATACAGGGTGATGACAAACATATTCACACACTCAAAACTCCAGCCCTCCTCAGTCTCCCTTCCAAACATAGATGGATAATCCACGTGGCCTCTCTCTTGAAGAACTGGAACCAAATTGTTGGGACAAAGAAACTCAGAAAAAACAGAAGCAGTGCCAGTGATAGAAGAAAAAAAAACCTGCACTGTCCTTCATCACCTGTCAGATCAGCAAAACAGAAGGCTTCACATTGTGTCACCTCATGAGGACCCGGGTCACTCCTTTATTACACGTGTAAAACTCCCATCTTTTAATTTTTTGTTCTGGCCTTGTTTGCATTAGTGAAGTATTGGAATGTGGGCAACTGTACAAAGATGTGGAAGCTCTCTGTCCTGACAGAGGAGACAGATTCGAGATGGATCATTACATGGAGAAAAGACTCAAAACTGCAGGTTGCTAGTGGAGAAAAAGGAAATTATCCACACACTCTATTTATTCCACACAGAATAAGCAGGTGGCACTGATCGCCTCTAGCGAGTGAGTTGTGGCAGGTGGCAGGCTTTGGAAAGGGATGAGAGGCTGACTTCATGGACTCATTTTCAGTGCCTTTGGGATTTGAACCTTGTTAAGTACTTACTGTATTACATTTTCCAGAAAGCCTCGCAGAAGTCAGAGAAACCTTGTATCTGAAACAGAAGTGGAATGCAGGCACAGAGAGGAGGGCGGCCTGCAGATTTCCACATGTGAGAGTAGAAGTGACAGCATTAGCAGAGCCAGACAGTTGGAAAAACAAAGTTGAGGGAGTCTCCACACAGCAGAATAAAAGCTAAAGGATGACAGATAGGAGAGGTGAAGGAGATGCCAGCAGGATCCCAGGTCCAGCACCCAGGAATCCTAGAGGCCGAGGAAGTCGTGGCTACCAGAGAAAACATGCAGAACCTGAGGCAGGAACTTCCAGACGGAAAGTGCTTTTGCCGCTTTTTCATTTCAGGAGGAGGGGACTGGGAAGGCAAGCAAGCAGCTGGAACAGTTCTCTGCTGCTGCTGCTGCTGCTGCTGCTGCTGCTTTGTGTTTGGGCTGTTTTGTTGGCTGTGATGGCTTTTTTTTTTTTTTTTTTTTTTTTAGAACATCTTCGAAAATCCTCCAATACTTTACCTGGAGTAGAAATTAGGGTAATTTAGTATTTGGGCCATAGTTGGGGGGCTAGGAAGCTTCCTGTCTCATTTGGATCCAGACATGTATGTCTTGGCCTTGAGGACATCTCATAAGTCAGGAATCTTTTCCATTGTGATATAATTCACATGCCATAAAATTCACCACTTTAAAGTGTACAATCAGTTCTTTTAGTGTAAACAGTTGCACATCCCCACTACCTAATTCCAGAGCATTTATCATCCACACAAGTCATTGGCAGCAGCCCCTGACCACCTCTAATCTGCTTTCTGTCTGCATTTCCTTCTGGACATTTCACAGAAATGGGATCATTCGGTGTTTGGCCTTGCCTCACCGCTCCCCTTGTTCTCACAGTCGGTCCACATTGTGCCATTTATTAGGGCTACCTCCCTTTTATGGCAGAGATTTTTTTTAGTCTCTCTAAAGGGAGAACATACTTTATCTTGCCGTCCCCCATCTCAAGTTTACAGTAAAGAGTAAATGGTCACGATGATCAAGAATAGAAAATGCCATAAAAGTATTAATACATTTAGATTTTTTTTATTTTGAAACAATTTCAAACTTACAGCAAAGTTACAAATGCAGTACAAGACCTCCTTCATCCGACCTGACCCTCACCTATCCAGATTTCAACAATTGCCCCGATCTTGTTCATTGCAAAAGATCCCATCTAAGGTCCACATTGTTCAGTCATTAGGTCTAGCATCTTCAGTGACTAACTTCCTTCCTCTTGACCTTGAGATTTTAGAATATTATAAGCTGGTCATTATAGGCTGTAGAATGACCATAATATGAGCTCGTCCAGTACTTGCTAGTGATAAACTCGAGACTCATCTTCTTGGGCAGGAAATCACAGACGTGAGGATATGCCTGGTACAGTCTGTGATATAGCCCTCCTCTCCCATTGCTGGTGGTGTCAACATCGACTGCTTGGTCAGATGGTGTCCCCAGGCTTCTCTACTGAAAGTTACTATTCATCTTTTGTAATTAATAAGTATTTTATGGAGATACTTTTGAGACCTCATCCCACTACCTCCTAGTTGGATTACTATGATGGATGCTGAATGACAACTCTGGAAATTCCCTTTTTTGTCTCTCCTAGAAGAGTTTTCTCCACATTTGTTTAGTTTCTTTATGTTACTATGGATTTTGGATTTGTATTATAATTGCATTAAGTTCAAATTGTAATGACATGGGTTATAATCTAATATTTTATTATGTTTTTATCATTATTGTGGTTTTTAAAATGTCCCACATTTAGCCCTTCGAGCTGGTTCCTGTGTCCTTGTGACATGTCCCCATTATTTCTAAGCACTTATTTACTTTCTTACGCAACAAACTATTCTAGGTTCATTTTCTACCTTGCCTGCTTCACCCTGGAAGACGTTAAAACCCTGCTCTTCTTAGTAGAGGGTAACTAGAAATCCAGGTCCATGCACTGGTGAGCTCAATGTCAAGAGCTCATGTCATTAGTTTCAGTTCAGCACCCAGGACCCACTCTGATCTCCCTTTCCTTCTGAGAAATGTGGCTCTGAAAAAGCAGCCCTGCCCAACATCCACTGTTATCCCTTCCCCTTTCCTGACCGTCAAGCCTTCTTGCAGGGGTGAGCTTTGAAAATGCTTAATATTGTCCAGCCAGCATGGCTCAGTGGTTGAGCATTGACCTATGAACTGGGAGGTCATGGTTCAATTCCCAGTCAGGGCACATGCCCAGGTTGCGGGCTCGATCCCCAATAGGGGGTGTGCAGGAGGCAGCCAGTCAATGACTCTCTCACATCATTCAGGTTTCTATCAGTCTCCCTCTCCCTTCCTCTCTGAAATCAATAAAAATATATTTTTTAAATGCTTAATATTAACAATAATAGAAAAGAACTTGTTATAATAAAGATTCATCCAAGAAATCAATTTATTTTTCTAAAACAGTTCAATTAGTAGGTAGTTTCGATATTTTAATTCAGAGTCATTCCCAATGTGATTGTTAAAGACCATGTGCATTGCTATGCTGTCTGGCAAGGATGTCATTTACACATTCTCTAGTTCCTGAGTCTGTGTCCATATTGATAAGTGTCTGCTCTTGGGTTTCAGTGCACCACCAAAATCAACACCTTCAACTGGTCCCGGGTCCGGAAACTCAGCTTCAAGAGGAAAAGGTTCCTTATCAAGCTCCACCCAGAAGTTCATGTAAGGATTATATTTTGAGTTGTTAAATTGTCAGAGAATGTATTGCGCTAGAATAGCGAGTTATTAGTTGCTCCATAAATCATTTCAGCATAATGCACACTGGGATTTAAGGACAGCATTCGGGTTGGGGTCTGGCGGGGCTCTCCTTGGTCTGCCCAGCAGTTCTCTGGTGAAAGTGGGACATGGGGTGGGGGAGGGAGGAGCAGATTCTGCAGGGCTGGGTGACCCTGAGAAGGTGCCTGACTAGCCCTGGGGCTGCTGAGACTACTGGATGTTACAGGCTTTTGTGCTCAAAGTAATGGAGTTGAGATGCAAAGTGTGAGCTATGATTGGAGCCCTGTAGCAAAACCGAGTAATGTTCAGAGTTAATTGAGGGGCGTTCCCCACTTTCTCATGTATCTGTGGCTCAGAAATTGACCCTTTTAATAGCTCTAAATGAAGGAGCTTGGTTTTTCAGAAAATAAATATTCCTTCCTATTGAGATTATTAATCAGTAAAGTGATTGTCTATGAATTTATAGAAAGGAGTAAAAATGGAAAAAGTGTATATACAACTGATAGTTGGCAAAAATTCAGTACTTCAAACTATTCACATATGTTCAAATTGTTACGTTTACAATGTACAGAGGAAGTTAGAGGATGAAAGATTAGCTGAGCCACCTGCTGGATGGAAACTTAAGAGGCCGGGAGGGTTTACACAGCGTTGGTGGTGGGGATTCAGAGCCTGGGCTGGTCCAGAGGAAGGGCTGCCTTGAGAATTCACAGGCACTTCATTATCAAGGGCTTTTGTCAAGGTCAAGCCACAGGCTGTCTGTGAGAGGGTGCCTAATTGTTTATTATTCAGAACTCTCTTCCTTGGTTGAAAGGAAATACAAGGAATGCCAAAAACAGACAAAACACAAGCAAAAGACTGCTTGTTTTCTCTGTAGGTTAAAAAAATGTTTCCAACAGTTACTCTGAAAAGACAGGGAAAGAAGAGAATTATGGCTCAAGATAGCACAGCAGCTATTAATTAGAATAGCTTAATATTCAAAGTTCAGAACCTTGTCTATTGCTGCACTTGGTAAAGTTGCCTTTTTCCATCCCCAAGCACTTAAATTCCTAATAGCAAGCATGTCAAACTCAAAGGCTAACACAGGCCAAATAAACAAGGTTTAAGTTTTTGTAAGCCGCAAAAAAAAAGCTTCCATTTTCATAGAAATGTAAGTTTATTTTAATAGAGACATGCTGAATACCACGGACTGAAATAAATGAGTAATCGTTAACATAAAATAATAGGACATTTTAATAAAATTTAATATTTTTTCTTGAACATTAACGTGCCAGATACTGAATAACTGCACAAATAATGCAAATAAATCTATTTTTCGTGTTCTCCGAAAGTGAAATATTTTCTGTTGCACACACCAAACAAGCCAGTCCAAGACTAATGACATGGCAATTGGCTGCTAAAATACTCGCTGCTAGTATTAGAGAAATGGTGTGCCTGCACGTAAGGGAAATGAATGCAACACAATTATAGTAGTCATTAGTAAACGTTGTAGTTTGTTAATAATTATGTATAACAGGATATTGTGAAAATAAAGTTACATAATTTTTATTAAAACGTTTCTTACATACCATTATATTGGCTGGGCTGCAAAAATATTCGTCACGGACTGCACACATCCCTCGAGTTTGACATATTTGCCTAAGGAGTAACTCTAGGAATCAAAGTATTAGAGTCTTTCTGGAATGTAGTTTAATAATATATATCAGAAGGTTAAAACTGCATTCTCTGAGAGCTCAGTATAACATTTCCAGGAATAACTGTGAAAGGTAATGCAATAATTTCTTCATGGTGATGTTTGTGAGCCTGGACATCATCCCACTGAAAATGGTTCAGTAATAACAGACAAGCATGTCTACCGTCACAGGAGGTGCCCTCATCCCTCTGGGAAATCTGACAAGGGGACACTCCAGGATGTCCACAGTGGGGTGATTATGGGGGCTACATGTTCTGATAGTTAAACAGAGCGTGTGTGTGTGTGGTATTTTTCTTCTCTTAAATGTATAGGGAACCAGAAATCTTTATGTACAATTTTCAGAAAAACATTTTCCTAATTTTTAACTTTGAAATAGCCTGTTTTCTGAACTGCTCCCTCATTGAATTAGTTACTTGAACCTTTGTATTTATTTCTAGGGACCTTACCAGGACACACTGGAGTTCTTGTTGGGTAGCAGAGATGAATGTAAAAACTTCTGGAAGATCTGTGTGGAGTATCATACCTTCTTTAGACTCTTTGATCAACCGAAGCCAAAGGCTAAGGCCGTCCTCTTCAGCAGGGGCTCCTCCTTCAGATACAGGTGGGGGCAGCGCATGGCCTGGCAGGACTGGGCTGCTTTGTAGAACAGAGAACAGAATATCCCTGGTTCAGGAAAATGTCGTAAGACGTTTCAGAGAATTACATACAGAAGGTAGCTACTGTCACACTGGAGAAAGCACCCTCCTATATAATAAAAGGCTAATACGCAAATCGACCAAATGGCAGAAGGACCAATCACTATGACACACACTGACCACCAGGGGGCAGATGCCCAATGCAGGCTCGCTGCTCCTTAGCGCTGTCTCTGGGCTCACAGCTGGTGAGCACAGCAGCAGTGGCGGGAGCCTCTCTCACCTCCGATGCAGGCGGACATCCCTCGAGGTCCCAGACTGAGGGCGCGCAGGCCAGGCTGAGGGACTACCCCTACCCCACTCCCCCCCCTAGTGTGTGAATGTCATGCACTGGGCCTCTAATATCAAATAAGATAGTGGAAAAAGTAGATGTATTATAATAAAAACTTCGTTTAGAAAATTGGTTATGCTTATTACACAGCACAACTTTAAAATGTGTATACAGGGTTATGAGGAAGGATGGGCAAGTCTTGCCTTTGTGAAAAATTAATGCCGCAAATTACCACTGATTCTTTTCTTAAATGTCTGAACCTTTGTTCACAGTGGAAGAACTCAGAAACAACTAGTAGATTATGTCAAAGACGGTGTGATGACAAGAACTTCATATGAAAGGTAAGCTCCGTGGTCTTGAGGATATAAAGTGTATGCTTTTAAAATTAATATTTTAAGTATTTAACCTTTATTTGAATAAAAGTCATTTCAGATACATAAGCATGTATTTTGAAACTTGAGTTGTTTATTTGTAATATCAATATACAGTTATTGTATCAGATATGGATATTACTTTTAGTTTCTAGTCTGCATAGCTTAGCTTACATATGTTTTTACATAGTATAATAAGCTTTTAATCTGAACATTCACCTTGTTCCTTCAGTGTGGGAGGACAGTTTTGCCTCTCTGAGACATCTATTTTTTATTTCCTGTTCTTGTTTTCTGTTCTCCTGCCCATTTCTAGTTAGATGCCTTTTGGCATATAATCAGAGTCTTAGCCACATTTCTGTGTGAGCTCTTCCTTGTGGGCAAAGCAAGAATCCAGAGGGCGGCTCACAGCTTGTTCTCTGTTTGCAGAAGACACAGCAGGACGCGGATGTCGGGCCGCGCTCCGAGTACAGAATTGCCAAAGCAGGTAAGTCCTTTTGATTAAAATGGATACCATGCCAATCCCCTGCACGCTTTTGGGAAATAATCTGGCAATGTTGTAACAAGGGTCTCAAAACTAGTTGTATCGTTTACACAGCAATTCCAGCCCTGGGACTCTGTCTGCAGAGGGGAGTCCTAAGTGAAGAGAAGGCTTCATTTGTGGAGACAGGTGTCAGTGTTCCTTGTGTCCCTTTGATGCACTACTCAGGAGCCATTACAAGTCTTCTAGAAGAACAGTGTGACCAGGGACATATTCAAAACATGTCACTAAAACTAGCAGATCACAAAGAAGCCCATGTCACATGACCCTCATGTCAATTAGACGCATGGAGACAAAAGGCTGGGGAGCAAACCTCACCATGTAATCTATGTGTCATCTCCCAGGTGACAGGATTCCGAGGCCAGCTTTTTCAGTTCTCTCGGCAGTCTTTATTTTCAGGGATAGGTGTTGTACACAGATGATCCTGGTCCTTTTGGACACCTGTGGGCATGACAAGTCTTTGGTAAAAAAGTCTGACCCACTGCCCTTCTTTGTGGAAGTTGTGATAGAAATGTGTGGACTTATTAATTTGGGCCCAGTTTGTTTTGCAACTTTCTAATGGTGATTTGTAAAATTATGTTCCTATTTTTCTTTTCTTAATTTTGATCCCCAGAGCATCTCCTTCACTGAGGGCATGAGGACTTCTGCATCCCCATCAACACATGCCTCCTTCTATTCAGTCCCTACCTCCCCAGTTGCCCTTCCTGGCCAGCCCAATATCAAGGACAGCATCATCTCCCTGATGGAGCCCCAGGCTCCCCACACCAAGAGGCCGGCTGCAGAGAGGGGCTGCGAAGCCATGGAAGGACCCGACATGAGACAGGCCCAGCCCCCAGGGCCCGCTGCGCTCCAGCCTTGTCAAGGTGTTGGGGTTTGTCGTGTTGTGAGGAGTTGCAGCCCCAGCAGTCCTAGGGGGCAGAGTCACAGTACCTTAGCCCTGGGTGCAGGGGGTGGCAGCAGTGAGTGCAGAGCTGCTGGTAAAAATGACAACAGCAAGGGAGACTTGACCATGGGTTCATTCCCCTCCTTGGGGGAGCACCCATGTGGTCGGCAGGGCATTGGGGGGAGCCCTGTTTTCACATTGACAAACACCCAGCTGCAGGTGTCTGAGGAGTTCATAGATGATGATCCAGCAGACATCTCTTTCTTTGCTGGAGGCTCTGAGGCATTTTCTTGCCCATATGGAAGTTTGGCCCTTCAAACCCCTTTGTGTGGTCACCCAGGCTCTTCCCAGTTCAGCCTAGACGGGTACTGCACTGAGGCAGCACCCATGAGCGTAGAGCATGGCTTTGAGTTTGGGGGAGAGAGTGGTTTTGGCAGCGTGCACCCCTCAGACACGTCGGAGCTGTTGGAGGTGAAGGCCCAGGCCAGCCTGATGCAGAGCCTGCTGAGCCCCTCCCAGAGCAGCTCCCTCAGCCACATCCCACTGCTTGGCCTATCCGTGCACACACCCAGCTCCACCAACCAGTCCGAGGCCAGCTCTATGGCCAACTTCCCCGCCTGCTCTGTGCGCTCTGAGGCCAGCTCGGCCTTTCAGTTCAACGACATCCTCGACCAGTTAGAGCAGCTCAGTTACCCGCCCACGACGGCTGAGGACTCCAGCAGCACAGACACAGACTCCTGGGGATCCGAGGCTGAGTCCCCCCTGGATGTGAGCCTTTTTTTTGGCAACTCTTTTGCACAGACGAGTGGAGAGAGAGTCATTTTCGATTTGCAGAATAATTTAAAGAATGTGAATCCAGGAGAGCAGGTAAATCAAAGCCCATGTTGACCACTCCAGCCTTCACAGGCTGCTCTGCACCTGCTCATGCAGTGAGTTCAGACTGTTGGCTTGTATCCATAGCTAGGGATTCTTTCTTCTCCCAATTCTCTGGTCCAGTATTCTGTTTTGAATGTCACAGAATTAAAACTTACACTTGGAGGGATGTTTAAAACTATGCAAGTTTAAAATAGATAAGTGTTTGCAGCTAGTCCCCCTGGGAGCTGGTGAATTAGTCTTGCAGCTGTATTTTTTGGCTGTTTTTTTATTCAGCTGAAAGCTGATGCTGTCCACTTTCAATGTCACACCATCTGACTCATGTTGATCTTTAATAGAATGTGTGTAGTCTGCCTTTTGAGGCTGCTTTGAAAGATGGGTCATTGGGATGGAGGCTTTGCCTGGTTTGTCCAGCCACTGCATGAAGTCCTGAGTGAGCCAAATCCTGGTCTCAGTGCCAAAGGCATTGTCCCATTAATGACTTGAGACCCAGAAAGAGTGCTATGGTTAGATAGTTGGCTTGGAGAGGCATTGGTTTAAAATGCAATTGAACTCTTTCTTTCTGTTTAGCTTAATTGGGGGTATAACAGATATTTGGTTACAGAAAAACAGAACCAGACACACCGGTCGGCTTGAGAGTTGTAGTGTAAGCTCGCATCCAACAACTGTTTCCTTGGGACTAATAGAGTGGGTTACTCGCTAAAACAAATAAACATCCCAGGACCCCGTGAACATCCAGGGGCTCCCGCTTTCCTTAGGAGTGTTGTTTCTTGTTGGCCAGGGCTGTGTCAGACACAGTCACAAGCCGTCTCTCATAGCCCCTGCGTGGAGATGGGCTTGTCCCCGGCCGTGGGAAAAGCAGGTGGAGGTGGCCGTACAGTGCCCATCTACACCGCTGTGGAAGGTGGGCAGATGCTCGCGGCCCGCACTGTACTCATCCTCTGTGGATGTCAGGAGGAAACCCCTGCAGTGCAGTCAGGACCTCAGGTGACTGCACTCCAGCCCTGGGCACATACTGTTCAATTTGTCAGGTCCACAGATTAGGCTTTGTTTTCTGTTTATTCTTCCTGCTCTTACCTAGGAGAGCAGTACCATGTTTAAAGGTTTATTTGCTTCCAAGTCCTGTGGTGACATTAAGCCTACGGCCTCTACTCCTGTGTGAGACTGTAGCTCTGCCTGGGTGGGTTTGCTGTGTGACAGCACGTGCTCTCAGGGACTCAGAGTTGCCCTGGGCCTCTTGTGAGGCTCACTCTTTCTCTTCTTATCAGTGCCGGTCCAATACTGGTGGGGTTTTAGCACAGTGTATTGAGAAATTGCCTGGGTGTTGTAGCTGCCTTAAAACTAAACTGCAGTCTAACTCTCATCCAGGTCTCTGGACTGGTGTCTCGGGTGTGCGGCTTCTGCCCATTCCCTTCAGCTCCAGACCCACCTCAAGGCACAGGGTTGATTCCGAGGGGGCTGGCTGATCTCTGAGAAGAGACTGTGCAACTCTGATGAGAAAGGCGATGTCAGAATTGCTCGTTAGAGTAACCTATTCAGGACATTTTTCCTCTTTGTGTCACTCAGAAAGCAAAGCTTGGACTTGTGTGGTGAAGACAATGAGCATATACATCTAGAATACTTTTCTTGGGTCTCAGTCCTATGAGGGCTGCCCAATCCTCCACCTGCTATTGCCCAATGATGCTTTCAACTAGCAAGTTGCCCTATTTTTCTTTTTTTCTTTTTTTTTTGATGGAGTTAAACTATTTATACAAGAAGTGGTTATACAAGGACTGAAAAAGGTGGGGGAAATGCCAAGGGGAAAGAAGAGCTGGCAGTCAGGCAGGGCCAGTGAGACCAAATATTCACCTTCAGGAAAGACTCCAGCTGTTTTCCTGACATGACCTTCACACATGCCAAGTCCTCCATCTGGCTGAAGGAGCCGTGGAGCTCCCTCCAGACCACGATGAGCTGGGCCTTCTTTTGGCCACTGCATTGCAGGCAGTGCAGATCCCAGGCTGGCCTTCATTCCGCATTTTCAGTACTTTTTGGTTTCCATGGGCTAGTAGTTCCGGGCTGACCTGTAGCTCCCATGGTCCTCAGCCTTTTCTTTCTGGCATCCAGGCACTACATCTTTCTCTTGTGGCTTTTCTTCTTCAGGATATGGACGTTGGCATTGGGGGATGCTGCCTGCTCCTGAATCTGTTGTAGGAGAATCACCACAGATTTGAGGGGCTTAGCCACTGTGACCGTGCAGTGGGCAAGAGGGTCAGAGCATTGTGGGAGAGCAATTCTCTTCCTCTTTTGGGTCCACAGTTTCCTGGGCCCGCACCTTGGCTTCCAGTTTTGTTTTTTGTTTTCATCTTAATTAAGCTTTTCAATTGCCAAATCCTTCTCTTTTTTTAATTAATGTATTTTTATTGATTTCAGAGAGGAAAGGAGAGAGAGAAACATCAATGATGAGAGAGAATCATTGATCGGCTGCTTCTTGCATGCCCCTTACTGAGGATTGAATCCACAACCCAGGCATGTGCCCTTGACCATAATCAAACCTGGGACCCTTCAGTCTACAGGCCGACATTCTATCCACTGATCCAAACCGGCTAGGACTGCCAAATCCTTCTCCACTATCTCCATGATCACCATTCACTCTCCCATTGGGGTGCTCAGCAGCAGGGTCCCCTGGCAGCCCAGCAGATGGCTTAAGCTCAGGAGGTGCTACACATGGCCAGTCCATGCTAATCATCTTCTGTAGGGGCTGAATTTCTGGGGAACAGGCTGAATATACCGGGGGCTCAAGATTCCCAATCTCTTCTTCCTCAGGCCTTGGGCTCTCTTTGCCTCTGAAGGGCCTACCAGTTCTTTCTGAAATAGTTAACAGGTGCCAAGACAAGAAGCTGTAGGCTCTCATTGGTAAAAGGTCGGTTGATCACCTCCTTGACCCTGGCAGCAGAGTAGAGTGCAGAGGCTATGTCTAGGTAGAAGCATCTCTCGGGGGCAGTGTTGGCAATGAGGATGCCATAAGAGAGCGAGCTTGCTGTCCTGGTAAGGCACAAGAGGGAGACTCTGGTTCAGCATATCCACCATCTTGCCCAGTACAAAGAAGGAGTTGATGGTTCTGCTGTCCTTCAACCTCAAGCCCTTGTTGCCTCTGTACTGGTTGTCCTCTGAGCTAGTCAATTCAATCAAGTAGTTTCCCCTCTCACTGGGGAAATGAGGCCAAGCATTCTCGCTGATTTACCTGAACCAGGAACACAACATGACTATGGGAGGAGCGCTGGCAGGAAGTGCTGCTCAAAATCAGCAAAACTAGTGATGATCTTCAGTATGAGGCCGAAATAAGTATGTTTCCTCAACAATCTTCTCAGATCACGAGGTCTCCAGAGACAGGGTTTAAGAGATCTAACACCTTTTCCTGGTAGGTCTCTGGCACCCTCCTTCTGGGTGAGCTGTGGGAATTCCATGAGAGCCGGGGAATCATCCAGGTTATTCTGGGCTGCCCAGCATTGTGTGCACCTTCCTTACCACTGTGGCCCATAGCCAGCACACAGGCACTCTGCCCTTCCAGCATTTGCCTTAGATGGGCTATACCGATCCAGCATAGGTTTCCTGCTGAGAATGCCTCTCTCTGTAGAAGGCATCAGACTGGTACTTGAGTCTCCTAGTGGTTCTTCCAGTTGGCAGTCTCTAGAGAATAGCAGGCCCTGTACACAGTGGCTATCATTTGCTCCAGATGTTCTATCTGCAAATGGCATCAGTCACACAGCCTTATCCGTGCTGGAAGCGGGTGCCCAATAGCTTCCACCTTGCTTAGCTGATAGCCACCAGCTCCTCTTGCTAAGCCTAAAGTCACTAAGTGAGGTGCAGAGGCCAGAGGTGCCCCCTTAAGTCACTTATCTGAGCCAAGGAGTTCAGCTAAGATGTTCCCTTCTTTGTAACTCAGTATTCAACATGTTGGAGTAAGCAGTAAAGGCATGGTCTATTTCTTAGTTGGTTTCACCCAAGGTCCCATATCTTGTAGGTTCAATCATTTGTTAAGTAGTTCCCTATCCTTTCTAGAAGCTTAACCAGGGAAGATGAGCATCTTTGAGCTCCTTGTTTGGACATGTCAACCTGGGTTATAGGTTC